TCAGAGAATCTACTTCATCGCACCTGGTTTTATCCCATATGGCTCAGTCTCTCTACACTGAACAGCTAGCTGCCTGCCGAGACGGCCACACAGAGCACGAACTCTGTAGCTCCGGAAAAATTGCACTCGTGAAATGAACGGCCTCGCCATGAACTAAGAGAATAAAGGGGCCATCCAGTCTATCAGAAGTGAACAGAGTCTGGCCAGAGATGACTACCACTTACTTGACCGGCATGGACATGTCATTATTCTACGCCTCAGGACAGGACATAACCAGCATATGCACAGGCTTCGTCTAAGTAGTTCACGTTTGTGCCCTTGTGGGTTATCTGTGCAGACTACAGAACATATCCTGCAAGAATGTCCCTTGTTCAGCCCATTAAAAAAGGAATACTGGCCCAACAGTGAATCAACACTGCACTTGAAGTTGTATGGAACTAAAAGGGAACTCCTAAAACACAATCGAGTTTATCACAAGAACTTGCCAGAAAGCGAATACAAGCAGAAGCAGCAGCAGACAGATAAGGCTGGCTGGTTCTGCACCACTTGGTTGTGAATCGATGTATGATAATCTAGATGCTGTGAGGGTCCTTTGAGGGTGAGTGAACAGTGCGGAGGCACAGATAAATCAATACGGTCTGAGAAGAATAGCATTCCGAAGAGTTACCAGAAGATCTAGCTGATGCTCAATGCTCAAAGAAAAGGCGAGATGGATGTACAGTTAGACAGTTACTGGTTTCATCAGAATTAAACCTCTTCGCTTGCTGCTGAAAATGGAGATGGAGCATTTATGAATGTCTTTAGTGCTATAATGTTTGTTCTTAATTCAACACAGAATACCTGCTTAGGACTCAAAGAGCTAAGTCCCAATGAGTACAAATTGAGATACTGTTGGTTGCGTACTCTTTACAGGAAGTTGCAGAACCAACCCCAGCATTGGCTGATGTGGTTTTTCTATAGAAAGTTATGTCCAGTAGTTTGCCATTGCTTCTGGACGGTCGGCTTCTCGATACCACTGTCGAAACCAACGCAAAGCGCAAGGCTTGCAGCTGGGATCGAACCCGGCATTAGGAAGTGCGTGCGCAACGCCTTAGCCACAGACGCCGAAAATTGAGATACTACAGGTCAGAAATAGTAAACCAAATAATTCAGATACAAACAGTTAATCTAACAACTTTCTGTTAAAGAAAACAGAAGAAAAAAACATTAACCTCTATAATTACCAGGAAGCCTGTAGTGTTTCATATTGAAAGAGTAACAAATAGCTTGGGATTCAAGATCTGCCAAGTTTACAATGGATACCACACATGTAAAAATATTGGTCAGCATCATATAAATGATTAACAGATAGACAATGTATTAATCGGCACTCACAGACAGAAGTAGAAAGACACATTAGACAACATAAAAATCAAAAGCTATAGTAAACGTGCCGGAAATCGAACCTGTCACCTCCAAATGGCATGTGCACTTCACTATGGAAACATGTGTACTAAGAACATGACCAACTAGGTGCTCCTAAAAAGGGTGTCTTTATTAGCGATGTCTATCGTACAACTTGAAATCAACAACTATGTAATATTATGTCATACCATAGGCCCTCAACCAACTCGAGCCATGTCATCCTATCCTGTGCTATCACATGCAGCATCGCCTCATATTCTCTAAATCTCCGTGACTTTTTTTTTAACCTGCCCTTATTCTCTTGACGCTGTGGGTTCCAGTGCACAAACATTCTAGCTATCAGGTTTTCTCAACGTGTGTCCTATCTTTTGTGTAGTTCTTTACCTTTCACTGTCTGTATAAATGTTTTAAAAAACAATAAAACTTGCTTTAACTGTTGTAATGCAATGTTCCTTAACCGTAGTAATTTACAGATAATGAAAACATATTTACAACTGTTAGTTAATGTATTTCTTTTATTCACATGAGAGAGAGAGTGTTAATTTAAAAAAAAAAAAATGAAATATAAAGCCAAAAAAAAAAAAATACTATCAGTAATACAGGAATGGAATAATCTGTATGAGGATTCAACAACGTAAATCTATTGTAATCTCTACAATTAGAACATACTTTGCCATTATCATTTCAAGGCATTTAAGGCAAATATTTTGTGAAGATTAAATATGATTGTTGCTCAGCAGTGCATAGCCTTTAAATGTTTTGTCTCTTTCTTGATGTTATCTTCCCACTTGTATCACTGCTCACCTCTTAATGTGACTGCCCTCACGTTGTCCCTTTAGTCTGCCTTACACATGAGTGTCATTTATTTTTTCTTAATTTAGCCATAAAAGTTAAAAACAATCTACGACTTTACTTGAGGCACACACAAAATATAAAACAGAATTATTACCTGAAAATATTTTTACTTAATTTAATAAGACTTTACTGAAAAAGCTGTTGTAGATGATTTACATTTTTAGTTGCATCTTGAATCAGTTAATACAGATAACTAAATATGTAGGCCATTTTTCATTTAGGTCAAGAAAGGCTCAGTCATGTGTCTAATGAACATCCAAGACCTAAAACAGGTGGCAACAAACCGCCAGATGTGAAGAGCTATGACCTCTGCCCTATGCACCTCTCTAGGCTCAACAGGAAAGACTATACATTTTTTCTTTCTGAGATTTCATAATTCCTTGCAGTTAACTATTTATTTACAGTTGAAAACATGTGAAAATATTTTTGTTCTTTTTTTTTTTTTACGTAATCAGTTATATCCCTGATTGCTTGGTTTAGAATAGGTAGCATGTTGGAGCAAGTTCCAATGTGTGATGTATATATGGCTGCATTCACAGTCTCTGGTAGGTGATATAGTTAAAATACTATTCAAAGCGCCAACCACTCTGATGATGGTGATGATAAATGGAAGTTTACATTTTCTTTCAAGCAGGAATCACTGCAGAAATTTTAGACTTAAAAATTGCATGAATATCTTCAACATCAGCCCAAAAATCTGTCACTCTGATAATGAAGATGTATAAATTAGAGCTATACCGAATAGGTGATTCGGCCGAATACGAATAATGGGACTAACTATTTGGCCAAATACGAATAGTGTATAAAAGTGATCTTAAAAGAAAACATTCATAATGTCAAATGTACGCTGAACTTTTACTTTACAAAATATAGTACAGAATAGTAAACATTTAACAACATTCTATGTTTCCCATCCTTCAGCCAGTCTGTGGTAATTAATAACTAGGAATGAAAGTACTCTAAGCATTATAACAAGTAATTCGCATTGGCTGCAGCAGCAGCCGTGTTTGCAGAAGCGGGTGTAATGTAACCACTATTCGGCCCGGCTGCAAGTATTTGGCCCAATACCGAATAGTTATTAGTTCCACTATTCGACCCCAAAGTGAATGATCGGTACAGCTCTAGTATAAATGGAAGAGTAATGATCTGTCAAGTATCACTGCAAGAAGTGTAGACTGTATGACCTTATTAGTATCTTTAACAAGATAGCCCCAAGAGCCACCTACTCTGGTAGTGATGATGAATGGAAGTTTAGATTTTCTGTCAAGCAGGAATTTCAGACTTAAAAATTGCATGAATATCTTCAACATCAGACCAATAACCTGTCACTCTGATGTATAAATGGAAGAATAGATGATCTGTCAACAAGTATCACTGCAAGAAGTGTAGACTGTATGACCTCATTAGTACCTTCAACGAGATAGCCCAAGAGCCACCTACTCTGGTAGTGGTAATGAATAGAAGAATAGATGATCCGTCAACAAGTATCACTGCAAGAAGTGTAGACTGTATGACCTCATTAGTACCTTCAACGAGATAGCCCAAGAGCCACCTACTCTGGTAGTGGTAATGAATAGAAGAATAGACGATCCGTCAACAAGTATCACTGCAAGAAGTGTAGACTGTATGACCTCATTAGTACCTTCAATGAGATAGCCCAAGAGCCACCTACTCTGGTAGTGGTAATGAATAGAAGAATAGATGATCCATCAACAAGTATCACTGCAAGAAGTGTAGACTGTATGAGTCTTGACCTTCTACTTAGCCTGTCAACAGTAAAGTCAGTAGTAAAGGAACATTTTTCCTGCAACTGGCAATCGGCTATTATTTCAAATATCACCTATTTTAGGCAGGGCTGACCTGAGAGTCAAGGTAATTAAAAACATCTGACTTGATGTGGGGTTGAACAGAAGATTTTCAGGCCAGCAGTCGAGGGTCTAGCTGCTACCTTAATGGAGCTGCCTGTTTTATCAACCACTGTTTGAGATACTAATGACTTCTTCAGTGGAAAACAAATATCTGCCAGGAGATGTTAATGGGGGAATAAATGTCATAGGAGAATAAACAATTACAAAATAGAGAATACAAGCGTACTGTCAAAGATGCAATGTATACTGAGCTGCATGTTTCAAACTAGCTGGATTTACATGGTATCCTCATCAATTAGCAAGTCCTTTGCAGAATGTTGTGCTCATTAAGACATGTGAGATATTAAATGGCCTTTTGCAGAAAGCCCCTCTCATCATGGCAGGCAAGAAATTCAATGGTCGTTTGCAGAAAGTACCTCTCCTCAAGGCAAGACATAAATTCAATAGTCCTTTGCAGAAAGTCTCTCACCCCATGGCAAGACAGAAATTCAATGGTTCTTTGCAGAAATTCCCCTTCCTCATGGCAAGACATAAATTCAATGATCCTTTGCAAAGAAGTCCCTCTCATCATGGGCTGCCAGAAAACCAGTCGGTCCCTGCAAAATTTCCCATCTCATGAACTGTAATGCTCAGGATATTCTGTATCTACTATCCTGCTGATAACCCTTGCCATGTGTTCCGTGAGACTACAAGAGTTAATAGAAAAAAATAATTAAAACCAGCACTTTTCAGACACATAAAATAATATTTCAACTGTTTATAGACATACAGAATAGAATTTTAATGTTAACTTTCTTACTTTAAAAACTAGCTCGTAATTACACAATTTAAAAAGAAAACTGCAAACAATTTTTTAACTTGTAAAATTTTAGGCTAAGATTTCTGTATTTTTAGATATTCAAACAAATCTTCTAAATTCTCTCCTTCTTGTGGAATATCTAACCATTCTGCACCGTTAGAATTATGGTTGTTGTAATTCCTGTGATTCGAAATCTGGCTATTTGGAGACATGTGGGTTTTTGAGTGTTCTGATGATCTTGAAGACCCTGTCCGCTTCTGTGGACTCACAAGACCTTCATGAAGATGCTCATTGACTCTCATGACACAGCCATCCTGCAGCAGCCGGACAGTGACAGCTGCAATATTTTGGGCATCATCAAGTCCACAGTGAGGTCTACCCTGAAACTTCATTCCCAGGTCCTCTAGCATCTTGTGAAGGTTCACCCGTTTACAACCGTAGAAAGCTGCATATGCCTTGCGAAGGTTGATCCACTGTTTGGCCCAACGTGGGAATGAAATGCCACTGAGTTCCACTTGGGTTTTTAAAAACCTTGCCATGTCCCAGGGGCTGTGTGGAGAAAAAAAATTATGAAAGACGCTTGTATATTTTAATATTTTAAAAGTTTAAAATATAAAAACTTGAAGCACTATTTTTCCATTATGAATTTGAGTAGTGAAGACATATACAATATACCAGTGTTTCCTAAACTTTTCTTGGTCACGGCACCTTCTTTCAATTAAAATTTGTCCATGGCGCCCCAACCCAAGTAAAACTATGACTATTCGTGTCTTGGTTACATTAATTATGAAGCTTTTACAATATTTCGCGGTGCCCCCGTGAAGAGGTCGTGGCTTCCCGGGGCACTGTTTAAGAATCACTGCAATATACCATATTTATTGCCTGGTATATTTTGTGGTATCTCATCAGGTGCATACTATAGAATTAAATCAACGTTATAAAATAAAGCAAACTAGATGCATCAGTCCAGCAGTTACTGCCATTACGACAGCTTGCTCATTTCCTTATTGCCATTTCTTTCCAGACAAATCCCTCAAAAATTACCTGGTACCTATTTTTGAGGCTGGGCTGACTTCAGGAAAATCATCATCAATCAGCATGTCCTTTATAGAACGTTGCTCTCCTCACGGCATGCCTTTCCCAGCCAGAGCTCTCCAGCCCCATGTGCTCTCGGTGCCAATGCATCTTCAATGTCTTGTATCCATCTTTGCAAAGATCGACCTCTGCCTCATTTCCCACAAACTGCACCCTTATCCACCGTCTTTTTTCAGGTCCCTATGACATTTCAGGAAAATACTTGAAGGAAAATATAACCCTGTCCCTGATGATCAAACCTGGATCTTCTTCTTCTAGTGACTGAATTCCTTGATTTACAATGACAGATGAGTCCTTATAATGAGACCGTATTTGGAGTTCCTCCTTAGTTCCATGCAGCTTTAACTATGGTGCTGACCCACTGGGTTAAAATTCCCTTCTTATTAGGCTGTACAAGGAAGAGTCTCACAAGACATGTTCTGCAGTTTGTAAGCACAGCTCAGATGGGCAGAGTTGTGAACTTAGATAAAACTTGTGCACATGCTTGTTAGTTTGTTACACTCTACCAAGTAAGTCACAGTTAACACTGGTCTGATTTTGTTAGCATCTGATAGACATGATGCCTCTTTTTCCATAAAGCAGCCACCCAAAGGTACCCCTTCTACTTTACCGACTGCCCCCATGAGAAGTTAATTACAATGTCTCCTATCTGGACCTCAGAGATGGCATGGCACGTTTCAACAGGCTTTATTCCAAGCTCATGTAACTGTGTTAGCATCAGAGATTCATTATTACCCGCTAGTCTAATCCTGTGCTGTGTTGAATCATTATCCAGTTATATCCTAATGTGTTTCTCTGCTACTGTTCTCAGGCTACTGTTACAGTACAGCTCCTTATGTGCCTGTGTGTTTGTGAGATAGAGAGAGAAGCGAGATGGAGAGAGAAACTGATATGAGTACATGCTTTAGCAGGCAACTGTTGCAGTAGAGTTCCTTATGTGTGTGAGAAAGACAATCAGAGGAAAGGGGAGATACAGAGAGAGAGAGAGAGATAGACAGAGAAAGAAACTCATTTGAATGAATGCATACACACCTTTAGCAGGCTACAGTTGCAGGAAGGTACCTGTATTTGTATGTATGTATAACCAAAGAAGATATTAAAAAGGAAAAAAACAAACAAGAAAAGAACTTTACCCATCAGTAAGTACGGCAAATTTATGCTCAGTGCCCAGCTGATGCAGAGACAGCCATTCTTCAAACTCTGCAAATACTTCGGTAAAATCTTTGGCTTTATCAACTTGTGACTGTCAAGATGATAAATGTTAGAATTAGTTCGGTTTATTCAACTAATCAACATCATGGCGCACGGGTGTAACCCATAAGTGCTCCATTCTACTTCTAACTCGAGTCTGAGTCCCAAGAATCCCAGCTCGTGCACGAACTCCATTGCACTGGCGAAGATCCTGAAATACTCTGTTTTGTCCAGGCAGCGCCGTTAAGCTACTCCTTTTCAATTTCTAACTGCTATGGTTTTTTTTAACATGTGCAGCAATACACACGGGGGTACCATCTTACTGCCCAGACACCAGAGAAAATTACTAGCAGTCTATGTGAAAAAATCCCAGCTTTTACCGGGGTTTGCACCGCACTCGAGGCGGATGCCATATCTTAGAATTAAATAACAAGAAGAAAGCATTTTGGAAACAACAAGAGCTTGTGAATGACAAACAAAAATATTATTTGGAACGATCATATTCATCATCATCATCAATCAGCAGCTCCTTTACTGAACGTCGCTCTTATCACGGTATGCCTGAATGTCTCTCGTTCTCCAGCCCTGTGTGTTTTCATAGTCATTGCATCTTCTGTGTCTTGTATCCACCTTTGCCAAGGTCTGCTTCTGCCCCTTTTCCCAGAAACAGTACCCTCCCTCACCTCTCTCTAAGCTACTACGTTTAACATGGCCAACACCCTCAGCTCTCTCTAAGCTACTACGTTTAACATGGCCAACACCCTCAGCTCTCTCTAAGCTACTACGTTTAACATGGCCAACACCCTCAGCTCTCTCTAAGCTACTACGTTTAACATGGCCAACACCCTCAGCTCTCTCCAAGCTACTATGTTTAACATGGCCAACACCCTCAGCTCTCTCCAAGCTACTACGTTTAACATGGCCAACACCCTCAGCTCTCTCCAAGCTACTACGTTTAACATGGCCAACACCCTCAGCTCTCTCCAAGCTACTACGTTTAACATGGCCAACACCCTCAGCTCTCTCTAAGCTACTACGTTTAACATGGCCAACACCCTCAGCTCTTGGGACAAGAAGCTGTTTATGAGCCAATTCTCCTTGATGCTCAGATCATGCATGATGTCAGTTTTTAATCCTTCTTGGTCTATGGTATTCTAAGAATTTTTCTGTAACATTTCAGTTCAAAAGCACTGATGTTTTCCTCAATGACTAAGAGCCGGTGATGTAAATAAGTAAGATACTGACCGCTGTAGAATATGGCAATACTTCTGCTGTACACCTTAGAGGCAGTTGGTACATTGTGTTGTGGTTTACCGTTAGCTGCAATATCAGCACCTTTTGGTTTAACACATCCAATTTAAGCAAACTCCTAACAGTGACCTTTTACAACAATTTTGTCAGGACTCATAGGTTAATGCAGCCTAAAATGAGTACCTGGAAATGTCTGGGGAAGAAAATGTTCGTGGTGTGATGCTGACAGCATCACCCATTGATTGTTGCATGGTCTTAACAAATTATCAACATTTCTCCTGAAAATCCTCATATTCTCAATCCACTTGTTTCCCACTTCAGTGTATTAGTGATTCTCTGTCTGCTTCTGCTCATTCTTCTTCCTCTTCTTCTTCGTTCGACATCAGTCATGTTAAACACCGACTCCCATCTGGGTAACAAATATGATTGTGCTTTTAAAGTCGTTACCTGTCTCCCATAGCTTTTCTTGCAATGTAGCTCCCTTTGGTCAGATCTACTGTCTTTGCTGGGAGAAGTAAGGGCAGTCCTGCAGTATGTGCTCAGGGGTTTGTCTTTCTGCTCCACAATCACAGGCAGCAGATTCTTTTATGCCTATCATGTGCAGGTGCTCGAAGAGTACAGTGTCCTGCCCAACGTCTAAAAATTGTTGTTTGTTCTTTCATGTTGAGTTTGTTTATGCTGTCACTCTCTGGTCTGTAATCTCCATTCTGCTTTCTCCACTCTCGCATAAAAAACTGCTTTAGTGCTGTTTTGGTTTCCTTGTAGCTGTGTGGTGGATGAGGCTGTGGAAGATTATTCCCAGCTTTTGCCAACTCATCTTTTCTCTCTCATTTCCATGAATACCACAGTGTCTGGTATCCACTGCAAGACCAGTTCTGCTTCCTTGGAAAGTAAACTTCTTCTCATATGTGCCCAGTATATTGTTATCACCCCCCCCCCCCTCCCCCCCTAAGTTGATACTATTAATACTAGTTGTTGTCCAGACCATTCACTTATTTTATCCTGCTGAACTTTTTAAACGTAACAATATTTAACTGGACAATTCCAAGGTAACAATAGACACAATGGACATAGAGTGTGACAGCATAACTATCCCAGATGCAGCAACACAAATACCGTAGGATATATAAGTAACTAGCCAAGTGTTTCAAGTATAATTAAGCTAATCACTAGTTAAATCATTCATGGTTTGGTCTCATGGGCAATACCCTTAAGCGTTGGTTATGACTGAAAGAGTTCAAGTTCATAAAATTTTCTTAGAACAATAGATCAAACCCAAGTTGCTTTGATGAACATTTTACCTGAGTGATTCCAGTCAATGATGTACAAAATTCTGTCAGTTTTGGATTCACTCTTGGCTTACAGAAACGTTGAAAGACATTGCACTGCAAATTAAACAAATGCCGATCACTTATAATTTTACATTTATGCAACAGCAAAGGTTATGTTAAAAATATAGAAATGAAATTTCCAGCATATCTTCTTAGCACAGTTTGTGCTATCTGGCGCTGGTAATAATGTCTGTTCACAGCTTACCTATAAATCATTTGTAATACCTTTCCTGCTGTGATGCCAAACTATTCAACATCTCTCTTGGTCTCCCTCTGGCTCTTTACCCTTCAACTGTTCTCTTGCCATGACATAAATTCTTATGCTCTTTTCTCATGTATTGTACCTTATAAAAATTCTAGACAGCAAAACACAAGGAAAAAGATCTGCAAGTCAAATAAATGTTGTATTACTTTTTTTTTTTTTAAACTACATCATAAAGGTGGCAACCACAAGGATTCAAGCTGTTATTGAATTGAAAAGAAATGGATAAAACAGGGGACAGTGGGATGGCATGATTAGATAGATAAATTCAACATGTCTTCAAATTAAATAACCTGGCAATAATGATAAAAAATTGAATATAAATTGTCATTTTCGAGACTTTCTTCGGATTATATGCTAGGTTATTTGAATCAAACCTTAATAATTATGAAAAATCATTTACAAATAATGCAGCAGAAAACTTTTGCTGCAAAAATTAATCGATCAGTCCAGGGCTTGGAGTTATTTTAAGGGCAGTTCTTCATTAGAAGATAACATGTAGAACACTTAACTGAACACAGTGCAGACCCAACAAGAGCTCACACTTAACAGAACACAGTGCAGACCCAACAAGAGCTCACACTTAACTGAACACAGTGCAGACCCAACAAGAGCTCACACTTAACTGAACACAGTGCAGACCCAACAAGAGCTCACACTTAACTGAACACAGTGTAGACCCAACAAGAGCTCACACTTAACTGAACACAGTGTAGACCCAACAAGAGCTCACACTTCACTGAACACAGTGCAGACCCAACAAGAGCTCACACTTAACTGAACACAGTGTAGACCCAACAAGAGCTCACACTTCACTGAACACAGTGTAGACCCAACAAGAGCTCACACTTAACTGAACACAGTGTAGACCCAACAAGAGCTCACACTTAACTGAACACAGTGCAGACCCAACAAGAAGAGCTCACACTTAACTGAACACAGTGCAGACCCAACAAGAGCTCACACTTAACTGAACACAGTGTAGACCCAACAAGAGCTCACACTTAACTGAACACAGTGTAGACCCAACAAGAGCTCACACTTCACTGAACACAGTGTAGACCCAACAAGAGCTCACACTTAACTGAACACAGTGCAGACCCAACAAGAGCTCACACTTAACTGAACACAGTGTAGACCCAACAAGAGCTCACACTTAACTGAACACAGTGTAGACCCAACAAGAGCTCACACTTCACTGAACACAGTGCAGACCCAACAAGAGCTCACACTTAACTGAACACAGTGTAGACCCAACAAGAGCTCACACTTCACTGAACACAGTGTAGACCCAACAAGAGCTCACACTTAACTGAACACAGTGTAGACCCAACAAGAGCTCACACTTAACTGAACACAGTGCAGACCCAACAAGAAGAGCTCACACTTAACTGAACACAGTGCAGACCCAACAAGAGCTCACACTTAACTGAACACAGTGTAGACCCAACAAGAGCTCACACTTAACTGAACACAGTGCAGACCCAACAAGAAGAGCTCACACTTAACTGAACACAGTGCAGACCCAACAAGAGCTCACACTTAACTGAACACAGTGTAGACCCAACAAGAGCTCACACTTCACTGAACACAGTGTAGACCCAACAAGAGCTCACACTTAACTGAACACAGTGCAGACCCAACAAGAAGAGCTCACACTTCACTGAACACAGTGCAGACCGAACAAGAGTTCACATTTAACTGAACACAGTGCAGACCCAACAAGAAGAGCTCACACTTAACAGAACACAGTGCAGATCCAACAAAAAGAGCTCACACTTAACTGAACACAGTGCAGACCCAACAAGAAGAGCTCACACTTCACTGAACACAGTGCAGACCCAACAAGAAGAGCTCACACTTCACTGAACACAGTGCAGACCCAACAAGAAGAGCTCACACTTCACTGAACACAGTGCAGACTGAACAAGAAGAGCTCACACTTAACTGAACACAGTGCAGACCCAACAAGAAGAGCTCACACTTAACAGAACACAGTGCAGATCCAACAAAAAGAGCTCACACTTAACTGAACACAGTGCAGACCCAACAAGAAGAGCTCACACTTCACACTGAACACAGTGCAGACTGAACAAGAAGAGCTCACACTTAACTGAACACAGTGCAGACCAAACAAGAAGAGCTCACACTTAACAGAACACAGTGCAGATCCAACAAAAAGAGCTCACACTTAACAGAACACAGTGCAGATCCAACAAAAAGAGCTAACACTTAACAGAACACAGTGCAGATCCAACAAAAAGAGCTCACACTTCACTGAACACAGTGTAGACCCAACAAAAAGAGCTCACACTTAACTGAACACAGTGCAGACCAAACAAGAAGAGCTCACACTTCACTGAACACAGTGCAGACCCAACAAGAAGAGCTCACACTTCACTGAACACAGTGCAGACCTAATAAGAAGAGCTCACACTTTACTGAACACAGTGCAGACCCAACAAGAAAAGCTCACACTTCACTGAACACAGTGCAGACCCAACAAGAAGAGCTCACACTTAATTGAACACAGTGCAGACCCAACAAAAAGAGCTCACACTTCACTGAACACAGTGTAGACCCAACAAAAAGAGCTCACACTTAACAGAACACAGTGCAGACCGAACAAGAAGAGCTCACACTTCACTGAACACAGTGCAGACCCAACAAGAAGAGCTCACACTTCACTGAACACAGTGCAGACCCAACAAGAAGAGCTCACACTTAACAGAATACAGTGTAGACCTGACAAGAAGAGCTCACACTTAACAGAATACAGTGTAGACCTGACAAGAAGAGCTCACACTTAACAGAATACAGTGTAGACCTGACAAGAAGAGCTCACACTTAACAGAATACAGTGCAGACCCAACAAGAAGAGCTCACACTTAATTGAACACAGTGCAGACCCAACAAAAAGAGCTCACACTTCACTGAACACAGTGTAGACCCAACAAAAAGAGCTCATACTTAACAGAACACAGTGCAGACCCAACAAGAAGAGCTCACACTTAACAGAATACAGTGTAGACCCAACAAGAAGAGCTCACACTTAACAGAATACAGTGCAGACCTAACAAAAAGAGCTCACACTTAACTGAACACACTGCAGACCCAACAAAAAGAGCTCATACTTAACTGAACACAGTGTAGAACTGACAAGAAGAGCTCACACTTCACTGAACACAGTGCAGACCCAACAAGAAGAGCTCACAACACACTTAAGTGAACACAGTGCAGACCCAACGAGAAGAGCTCACTGGGGACCGAAGAAATGGTTCTTTCCAGAAACTCCTCTAATCCAGATAAGAGTTTGAAAAAGAAAAATTGCCGGTTCTACACAACAAAAATTCACCACATCTGAGATCACCTTAAGCAGTGTGCAATATATTTTGTATCTGTTTCATGTAGTTACATCACTGCATACTTCAGAGACATTTTCCCTAACATTTTATGGACTGTTGGTTTTTTGTTTGTTTTGTCAGCAAATAAATGAATTATACTTATTGGAAGCCAAGGTAGTGCAGAGGTTAATAATGTACACACGTCACTTTGAGGTGTAATTGTTGTGTGACCTACAGTGTACCACCATAGTGCTCCTGTGCCAGGAGGTGCCACGAAGATGGAAATTCAGCAATTAATTCAAGATAATGCTCGCTCAGAGGATTTGATCATTTACACAGACGGTTCAGTGTCAAGAGGCAAAAGAAGTGCTTGGGGCTTCTTAGCAAAAGTTAATGGTCGACGCTTGGTGCAGGAGAGCATAGCATATGATACCACACATCCAGCTTAAGAATGGAGGAGGAGGTGGTCACTGCAGCTTTCCGCTGGTTAGAGAACACATACACATTGTGATTGTAACTGACTCAGAAAGCATACTGAGGAATATCGGGTCAGGCATGCATCGTGCAGAGTGGCATGCTTAGCTGCGGAGGACAAGGGTGAGGAGTATTGTCTGGATTTTTTAACCGAGATATTGCCTTGTGGGAGAGCGTGTACAGTTCAGAGGAGCAGATGGATCACCAGTCTGGTGAGATTGTTGCAAGGGGGAGTGACGAGAGGTTCTGGCAGATGCTCAAGGCTCAGAGGAAAGGCAAGACAGCGTTTAATCAGAATGCTCCTGGCACCATAAGTATCGGAAATCTTCGCTGGTAGCTGAAGATAGGGACAGAGCACTTATGGGAATGTCCCGAGTGCTGTGATGTCGGTTCTTGAATCAAATCAAATCAATCAGTGCTCCTGTTTGTCTTATCAATATATCATTTAGAATGAGATCTTTTATTTTTGCTGTGAACAAGTTTTCATCTCCTTCTGCCCTTTTTCCCTAATGGAGAACCTGACTCTTATCTAGCCCCTTCCCCTGCTTATTGTTGGTTGACTTTTGTAGTCAAAACTTTTTATGGGATGGGATAGCTAACCCCAACTCTAAGCTGAGTCGCCTGCTACAGCATGCTTCGCAGAGTATAGTGTTACAATTCTTTGCATTTTCCTAAGGACAATTATAAAAGAATGATGAGAATATCACGGAGAGACTAAAATAATAACAAAGAGGTCTTGGAAGACAGTTCCTCATTTAATCATACAACCTAACAGCATTGCAGTGTATTTTGTAATCGTTGGGTGCACCAATATAACTGTTTCCAATGGGTGGAAGTTTCTTTATTCATCCCCGAGGGATTCTCATCAGCATAGTGGTTCTTTAAGCCCAAGGATGTTGACTGTTCAGCAAGCAGTCCTAGAAGGGTTCAGCTTCCCTCACCTCATAAAGAGAACCGATTACCCACAATAGAAAGAGATTGTCTACATTCATTGGGCACTGTATATGAAGGCGAAAACTACAGTACATTATGACAACAGGAATATTCAAAAGGCAGATAAAGATCAAGAGAGACATTGCACAGTTCAGAATCACAACATGATAGAACATCTGTATCAGAAATGACAAACAGTGCTCAAGACAAAAAGCAGTGGGCAGATGTGATTACTAATACCACACAGTATAGACATTAAGAGGAACACACATCATGCGTAAATAAGTAAATGAAGGACCCTGTCCTGCATCTGGTCCAAAAAGCATATAGATAGACCTATATTTTCCTAGACCAATCAGCAATTATTGAGTACTGTTGTCAATGTCATGCCAGAAGCTTTTACTTCCCAGATACCAATTTTAGACTGGGTCAACCTGGAAGTTCATGTACATTTTAGAGAAAAATATCCATCTCAATGTGGACTGGAACTCTAGACGTTTGGGTCTTCAGGCGAACCTCTAGCCACTTTGTTGCAGCGGCTCTCAGGAATGAATAAGTGGCCAGAAAAAAATTAAAGGTACGTCGCGATAAGAGACCCAACAATGAGAGTGACCTCCCTTCCCAGTGATCTGGTGTAGGGCCTCTTCTATGTCGCAGGGGTTTCAAGTGTACTGAGTCATATTTTACTCCTTGTTGTCAGCGACCGGCAATATCGGGTCTTGTATGCCTTGAGCGCTTTTAACGGTCCCAAAACATGTAGAGCTGGGCCTTACCCCCAACTTCGCAGCCTTAGCCTATGTCTCACGACTATATGCAGCCTCTATTATTCGCTGCATAGACCTAGGATGCACCCCTACGACATAGTGGAGGCCCCACACCAGATCAAGGCATCAATGGGAAGGGAGGTCACTCTTATCGCTGGGTCACTTTACGTGACTAGAACCAAATAAACTTTTTGAAAGTGACAGGTTTAGTTGTAAAAATTTAATTATGAATATGAAACACCTACCACAGCCTGATTTTGTGTGTCGATCAAAACTGCTGGAAATTCAATAATCTCATGCACAAAGTTCTCATTGCTCTCGCTGCATGTTGCCTCAAAGTCTATGACTACTAAGTATGCATATTTCAGTCTGTCTTCTTCTGATGCAGCACTGTTGCTCTGGACCAGTTTTTGGCGCTTGTAGTAGTGTTTTAACCTTTTCTTAAGAACATCCTTCACACCGCTGACAGACAAGAATATATAAACAGAAAGAATAAACAAGTTAATTCTTTTTTTCAATTTAAATTATTTCATGATTTTTTTCTTCTGCCTTCTATCCCCCAGTCGAAAACAGGCATTCAACAAACTCACACCAAGTCGTTGTGTCCTTCACCATTGCATTCAGCTCTCCGTGTCTTTCAAAATTTACTCTCTAACTCCCTTCTCCATGTGTTTTGTGGTCTTCCATTATTTCTATGCTCCTGTGAGTTCCAGTGCAAAGACATTCTAGTTATTTTGTTCTCAGATTTTCTCAAGGTGGTCCTATCCAATGCCAGCATCTTTTCTTCATCTCTTGGTCCACTAGAACTTGTTTAATTCTCTTCTAAAGCTCATGGCTTTAATATGTGTATACGCTAAGTTACTTTTAGCAAAGTGTTTGGTTTGGAGACTTATTTATGTAGCGGCTGATTCAGAAACTGTCGAGTGTCTGGTCAAGCGGTTATAAGTATTTACAACCAGAATGTTGCTGGTTCTATCTGCATAAATGTCATGTGAAATTTGTTATGGAGACTAAGCACCTATCGATTAGCCTACAGGGCTGTAATTCAAATCTGTGCCAATAACTATCAATGTCAAGTCAGTAGCGCTGTGATTCCATTTACAGGCATGAAGGGAAAGTTGAGGCCATTCTGGTGTACATATAGAGATACTCCATACCTCACCTTGTGAACCAGGAGGCTCTGGGCTGGTTTTACGGATTCCCATGCAAAACTCCTGCCACACATCCTCGTCATGCACTGCAGATAATGGTGTATCTTAGCCTAATCTTAGCTGGAAGGGGATCTTGGATTTGGTGGCTCTCAAACCTTGTGCACCAGCAGGCTCTGGGCTGGTTTTACTGGTTCTCATGCAAGACTTCTGCCACACATCCTTGTCTTGCACTACAGATAATGGTATATATTAGCCTAAATAAAGCTGGAAGATGATCTTGGATTTGGTAGCCCCTAGAGATACAGATCCAGAAATCATCTGGTTTTGAACAGCCCACTTCCTATGTGTGGGTGAGAAAGATTGAAAGAGTACTCGGAAAAGATGGAGCGATGGCATTAGGAACAGCCTTTCAGAAATGAACATCAATCTTAATAGTGCTCTTGATAGAGCTCATCAATGAATATTACATCTCCCCAGACACTTGGCTGAGGTACAAGGTGGAAGAGAAGAAGAAGAAGAAAAAGAAGAAGAAGAATTATGTTAATAAGACTGAAACTTAATAAACCTGGTATTCAGATGTATATGTAATATAAAAAAATAACATTATATTACTATTAAGAATAAAAGTAAGCACATATGTATTCCCATTTAGATTCAAGATTACAATAATAATGTTATAAGACTGAAACTAAACAAACCTGGTATTTAGACGCACATGTGCCAGTTTCTCTTGCAACTGTTCTTTAGTCATTCTATTGATGGCACCATTAATGCGAGACAGTTTGAGTGAAAACTCATCTCTGCCGCCCGAACTGTGCACCTCAGGCGGTATCTGACAACTGTGCGCCCCATAACTGGCATTTGAGTTCACTGATGGATTGTCTGCATCTGTTTTCTAAATTCACAAAAACAATAAAAAAAAAAAAAATATATATATATATATATATATATATATGTGTGTGTGTATGTATATGCATAATGTCTGTATTTTCGGTCTGGGGTGTCAGTTACTAGTAGCACCTCTGGCAAGGTGACCATCATGTCCTGTTTAGGACAGTTCACAGCCATTGGGCTAGGTCTGGCACTCAGCTCTCTCCTGTGGCTCCCAGCAGCTGTCAGCATGCGGCCACCCCCCAGGCAACAGCTTTGACGACTGGCTAAACCAGCAGAGGGTAGCCAACCTGGTTCTAAACCACTCTGTGATTGGGATATACATACCCTGCACGCAAAGACTGGACTCGGCGGAATTTGCAGATTAAACCTCTTTGGTTAAACGGACAAGAAGGTGATGATTACCAGCGGGCTCAGTAAAGAGCTTCGAGCAAGGTAGGGCACTTATGACGCCTTGGTCATCCACTGCCCCTAGGTCCATTTCCAATCGTCTCAACATTATCCTGCCGTTGGATCAAGACGAACACAGGCGAGAGAGTGAGGTCGAATAATTGCTTAACTCTTCCTCACTTAAACTAAATTTCTTGCGCAAGTCACTTTCATCCAATTATCATCCTCATCGTATGTGACATTCATCTGCCACATAGGGCTCTCAGTCAATTTTTACATTCTGGTCTATCTTGTGCAATACTTTTGATACAGTTTATGCAGTCATCAGACATCGCCCCCCCACCCACCCCCTTTTTTTTTTAAATCAATGTTCACCGTAGAGTTTTCTAAGACATCCTTGCTTAGCAAATTCAAGTATTGCCAATTTCAGTGTCTGTGTGAGCAACACTTTAGTAAGTATGAAACACGGACGTAGATGCAGACATGTGAATGAATTTGGAAGTATATATGCCCCTACGGGTGGATGAACATGTTTACATGAATGTAAGTAGATGAATGATTACACTGATAGGCAGGTATGAAAGAGAACATAACTGTAGGAAATGTCAAATAGGTATGCATCCATGCATGCATGGATATGTGTGAAAGGGAGTGCAAACATGTAATGTTGTGTGATGTATGGATGCTTGGGTGTATGTATGCATACATTTGATGGTGTACATCCATATACCCTGAGGATTCATACTTACAATAATCTTATTCACATCATGCATTAAACATAAACATCACTGGTGGGACTCAAAATAGGATAAGATGGACAGCAAATACAGAGCACCTAACAAATAATTCCAACCCCCCTCCCCCCATGGTACGATGGTAAAGACCGGTGACGTGATGCATATTCCAGGGATATGGTATTTACGCACACCGGAGCCTAGCTAGCTACCAACCCAAATTGACCACACTATAACCAATGATGGACAGAATCACTGTTTGTGAGGCTTCACCTAACATTTCACACACATCTCCATGACATGATAAGCCTTAATCGAGGAAGACAACTATAAGACCACTATGGTCACACACAGAATTTTTTTAATATTTCAGAACTATTGTTCCAAACCCAAAAAATGTTTTCAGTAATTTCTGGCAAAGTAAAATACTAAAAATTTTAAAACTACAAATGGTGGTCCAAAGGACGTTATGTTGAGAAGCTCGCTCTCCTAAGAAATATGCCTGGTTAAATCAGAAGGAGCTGAAACCAAGGAGGAAACATCACAAATGAAAGGGTAAAAAGAACACAGTTAATAATGTTACATTGTGCTATGGGGAGGCACGGGAACCACAGCCCATGGCGATGGTGAGAACTAGCAAGACACCCACAATGAGAAAAGTCTTCCACAATTAGGCTAATAATTTATTACTGTAACTGATCAACATAATTTATTACTGTAACTGATCAACTTTAGGGTTGGAGGAGTTAAAATAATAGCTTTTTTTTTTGAGACCTGAGGAGTTAAGAATTTCCTGTGGGGGTTCCGGGGCCCCATTCTGGGGAAAACAAATACAGACCCACTGCCTCCCCAACAAGCATGTCATAAAAGTCAACTGAAGAGGGGGGGGGAGGGATCTTCCTTCCAAGTCACAGTGCATCTGCCTCATAGGCAAGGAACCAACAATCTGCACACATTAAAAGTCAGATCTGTTAAATTGATGTACACATTACATTCCGGTTCTGGAACAAGACTAAAGACTAGAGGTGGACAAACAACCAGAACTTTCTGCCAAAGTTTACAGCCAGTGAAAGAGAGGAAGAATTCAGATTTGGGGCATAGCAAATGACGGTCACAACTCGATGGCTTATAGAGAGTTTAGAAAAGTACACCATGTGGTTGAAACCAAACAAAGCCATTGTGAGTTGCTTGGTATGGAAGAGTTAAACATACATTCCACACAAGGTCTCCTGATACTGAAGAGTTAACGCTTACATATTCCACCCAGGACCTCCTGATATTGTCATATAGAGGAATATTAGGTATCCGACCTCACAGCTCAAGAGATATCATTAGACACTAATTATTCTTGTTAAGATTTCCAGCTTTATAATGGACTCTAATCAATTACTTTATGAACCTGAGGCTGACACAGTATCAGCCATACAATTCTATACAATTAATCTTTGTTCAGTTCGTCCTTCTATCTGACCGACTGACACCTTTCCATCTGATAGTGTTATACTGTGCTATGAGGAGGCATGGAACTCACAGCCCATGGCGATGACAAGTGTGACTAGCAAGACCCGCCTGTGTCAACAAAGACTTCCACAATGATAGAATGGGATTCAGGGCCACTGTTGTCAACATTTCGAGACCAGTTACAGCCAGGGAAGAAGTTCCTCCTCTCCATAGCTCAAAGCCTGGGCAGTATTGCAGAGACTATATGTTGCCTATGCATCATGATCCCTCTCTCAACCTGCCTTGTTTACTCCAATGGAAAGGTAACACCAGTATGTTTGGAACAAAGCAGGCTGCAGAAGCTGCCAGATAAGAAGAGCAGTACTCTATCTGTCTGTCGGAGCTTTCCTTCTAGACCAGCTGCCAGCCAAGGCGAAGGGCCTGGTCTACCCTGCCATGACATAAAGTTTTCAGGTTGCATTTCTTCTTTCTAGGATAAGACTAGTATCCTCCCCAACGTGCTCCTCCGCTTAAAGCCGATGGCACAATATGGGATGTCAGGCTTGTTATACGCCTCGTAATTATGACACTAATAAACTGCACTACGCAATCATGTGATCTGTATGACCATACAACAATCAGCCTGATGTGGTTGAACCTATTCTTCCCCCCCCCCCCCCATTAAAACTGTTTCGTAATTTTATTTACATTCATTACCTCAAGAACATCTGATGATGTGCTGTGGACCCACGCCTGATATTCATCCATGGCAAACCCTGGCAAGTCCAAAGAAGGTATTAACCAAACAATGCTCTCTTAGAATTATTGATGAAATCGGAGGGCTATCCTTAAAAAAAATTTAAAAAACACACATACAACAATAAGTTAAGTTTGGTACTGTTACAGAATTATAATTGCTGTTCCTTAATGAATTATTTTAGGTAATCAAGAGCTGTAGTGGCGTATACTTGATGAGACTGGTCAGTGGTAGGGTGTGCATGTAATGGTTGTTTTCATCACTTACATTTTCACTTGCCAAAGAAAAATGCATTATTTTAATATTTATTTTAACTGTTTACTATTTATTTCAAATGCTCCACTTGGTTTATGTCTCAAACACAGCAAAAAGAATGCTGGCTGCATGCTTACGCCACTAATGCAGAAACTGTATGTAAGAAAGCTATCACTTACTAGTACTATGATGCTAGCTGCACACACATATTCTCAAAAGTGAAGCCACAAGTAGGAAGTATCACTTGATACCCACTCTAATAACAGCACCGCCAGAGCGGTTTAATACACTTTCATACATTATGTATCCTCTGACAGTGTTAATTTGTATACAGTTCAATTCAGAATTCATTTCATCATATATATAATATATTTTAACTAGTTGAGTTTGTGATGAAGGTGGGTGAACTAAATTCTCAAATCATATCGCTATGGCGCCAGCTCAAACGGCGACCCTAAAAGAAGCAATCCATTGTTTGTTTACGTTCACATAATAATGTTCTTTAATATTTAATACTGTTTGAGTTTAGGGGTAGGGTTAAACTAACGTAACCCAAACAATATTAAATAACATTATTATGTGATGTATACAAACGAGATTGTGTCTTCTAGGGTCCCCCTTTTGAAGTAATGCTGAAAACATCACAGCGACCACAGCGGTTTAATATTTTCATATATTATGCATTCCAGTCAATGTTAAATCCTTTACAATTTAATTTAGCATTCATTTCAACTTGTATATGGAAAGTTTCAATTATTTAAGTTGCTGAAAAATGTCTTAAAACTAAATTTTCAAATCTTATGGTGCCTAGTGGCAAAAGCCAATTGGTTTTACACTTACTTATGGTGGTAAATGGTGCTGCGATCTGTATAGTAATGACCCGATGGCAGTTTAATAATGTAAATGTATTAAAATATGCCATAAATAATTTTTTAATTCTGTTAAAACACATTGTCTGAAAGTGCTGAAAAGTTTTTTTTTTCCCCTCTCGGTTCCTATTATTTCTATAATTTAGCTTACAAATTGATATGGCTGCTTAGAACTGAGGTAGAGGCTTGAATAGGGTACAGCTGAATTTCTGTTTCCATATGGAATGCAACTACGATAGTTGCATTATTTAAAAAAAAATTCAGAAAATTTGACCATAGTACATAATAATAGTCCCCCATGTGGGTTCCGGGGCCCCATTGTGGAGAAAACAAGAATAGACCCACTGCCTCCCCAAAAGCATGTCGTAAGAGTCGACTAATTGGGGAGCTTCCTTTGAAGTCGGAGTGCATCTGCCAGAGAGGCAAGGAACCAATAGTCTGTATTCAAGAGAATGAGATCTGTAAAGTAAAACTGATGCACATGCAACACTCATGTTCTGGAGCAGGACTGCAGTTCAGTAGTGGACGAGCAACCAGAACTTTCCGCCAGAGTGTACAGCTGGTGAACGCGAAGAAGAAGATAATAATAGTAAACCTAAAATGTAGCTCTAGCATAATAATCTGAGTTTTGTCTTTAAACTAAGTCCCTCTGACTTCCATATACTGTAAAGCTTCATGATGTCATCATAGTCAATTGAAAAAGATATAAATATAACTCAATTTAACTGTCAGTGATGTCCAAAATACTTTTTCTGACTTTCATTTTATTTTCATAAGAAGAATTAGGGCCGTTGCTAATTCTTGCTTAGCTCGTTTTCTGAAGGCAGAGCTGGCTATTGGGATGTTAACCATTCTTAGTCACTTCTTTTTTTACCCAGTTTCAGTTTTCCTGTTATATGACATAATAAATGGTATAATCTTTACTTCTTTATGATCACCCCCCCCCCCCCCTCAGTAAACAGAGAATGATTTCAAAACAAGGCCGCATAACGTTAAACATAATTTACTTTAAGAGAATAACGTTTATTTTTTAAAAATAATTTTTAATTATAATATAATTGATTTAAATTTTAAATATAAAAATCTTTCTTCGGTGATAATAAGGAGGTCAAGTCAAGGCTTGAACTGTCAGGGTAATCAAATCGTGTCATTCAGTCATGGCCTATTAAAACTGTTCATTCAAGAGTTTCATATGATCTTTATTATAACATCACATTCATCAGAAACGAATGACAGCACATCGTATTTCATACTTGTCATCATATTTGCGCCATGTTTGTTTATACTGCTTTCACCACTTCCTTTCGCATGGTTATTTTCACAATAGTTGTAGATTACTAGATGTGCTTGTTGCCTGCCGTTTATTAATGTATCATTTTTTATCAGTTGCAGTCTTCACAAAAAAGTGCCTTTTATCACGCCTTAGGGCGTATAGGGGGAGACCTATATTTTATAGACAAATTGATACTTATTGGGTGATGTGGTCAACATCACACCGACCGCCTTTACTTCCTATGATTTGACCTGGTACCTATTTAAGGTTAGGTCGAGCCAAGGTCATTTTTTTAAAAACAAGTCTGGCTCACCCAGAACCTGAAACCACGACTCTCCACAATAAAGTTTGGTTAAAGTAGATCTCCAGTAATCGGCTATTCTCCAAATAACGGTCCCAAGTTATCGAGGCCACCGCAGAGAGTATCTAGCACGCCGCTACGCGCGGCTAAACCAGATGGCTGGGACTCACAAGCAAATAAAATGAAGGATGCTGCAGGAGATGGGGTAGCTGCTGCTTGTGAGTCCCAGCCATCTAGTTTAGCCCCGCTCCACGCCGGAGATACTTTCGGCAGTGGCGATAGTCCGCAATTTAAGTCGTCGGAAGTGCGCAATTTACATGTGATTGAGGCCCTGTTAGGGTATATTTTCGGCCTCAATAATTTGGGACCGTTATTCTGAGGATACTATGCCTTTCGTCATGGGCGTAGGCTATCTGTGACTGCTACTTGTCAATCTCTTGATGTTTATTTCCTCATTTGAGTTGCTGTCTGCATCTTGTTCGCTTGCCTTATTTTCCTTCCTTATTTTCGTTTGTGTGTGTTTCGTTTAAAATCAGTGTAGGAAACATAGAAAAAGGCGGGGGGGGGGGGGGAAGGGGGAGGGGATAAGGACAGAAGAAGCCTAGTAGTGTCCTTTTTGTATTGCACCAGCTAAGTGATTTTGTGTATCTGTGTAGTATTGTTTGATTTGTATGTGCTGATGAAGGCTCCATAGACGTAACGTTCATGTTTTGTTTGTATTTATTACATTGTGAAGCTTGCTAATATACTTTTCGTTTGGTTTTTATCTTTTTTGTTGTTGCTATCCTCCGACTAACGGTCGGTAAAGATGGCGGCCGCAAAATATCCTTTTTGAGCCACAGTCGCGTGACTTAATTTGTGGTTTTTCCGGCGATTATCGCCACTGTCATGTGTCTCCCACGCCGCTCACGCGGCGTGGAATGTGGCTAAACTAGATGGCTAGGACCCACGAGCAGCAGCCGCGGTGTGCTCGTGCGCAGTTGACACGCGACTGTGGCTCGAAAGGATATTTTGCGGCCGCCATCTTTACCGACCGTTAGTCGGAGGATAGCTCTTTTTTTGTGTGTGTAGTGCACGCCTTTTGGCGTTGGTCATCATCTCTGACCACAGTCATCTTTCTTTAAAAATATGCTTAAAACTGCCCCAATGCCAGACTGTCGTTTCTTCTTCTCCTTTTTTAATGATTTTTCTTCCCCTCTCTCTCAGTGTTCATATTAATGCAAATGTATTGGATCTATCTATCTATCTATCTATCTATCTATCTATCTATCTATCTATCTATCTATCTATCTATCTATCTATCTATCTATCTATCTATCTATCTATCTATCTATCTGTCTGTCTGTCTGTCTGTCTGTCTGTCTGTCTGTCTGTCTGTCTGTCTGTCTGTCTGTCTGTCTGTCTGTCTGTCTGTCTGTCTGTCTGTCTGTCTGTCTGTCTGTCTGTCTGTCTGTCTGTCTGTCTGTCTGTCTGTCTGTCTATCTATCTATCTATCTATCTATCTATCTATCTATCTATCTGTCTGTCTATCTGTCTGTCTATCTATCTATCTGTCTATCTATCTATCTATCTATCTATCTATCTATCTATCTATCTATCTATCTATCTATCTATCTATCTATCTATCTATCTATCTATCTATCTATCTATCTATCTATCTATCTATCTATCTATCTATCTATCTATCTATCTATCTATCTATCTATCTATCTGTCTATCTGTCTATATCTATCTATCTATCTATCTATCTATCTATCTATCTATCTATCTATATCTATCTATCTATCTATCTATCTATCTATCTATCTATCTATCTATCTATCTATCTATCTATCTATCTATCTATCTATCTATCTATCCTATCTATCTATCTATCTATCTATCCTATCTATCTATATCTATCTATCTATCTATCTATCTATCTATCTATCTATCTCTATCTATCTATCTATCTATCTATCTATCTATCTATCTATCTATCTATCTATCTATCTATCTATCTATCTATCTATCTATCTATCTATCTATCTATCTATCTATCTATCTATCTATCTATCTATCTATCTATCTATCTATCTATCTATCTATCTATCTATCTATCTATCTATCTATCTATCTATCTATCTATCTATCTATCTATCTATCTATCTATCTATCTATCTGTCTGTCTGTCTGTCTGTCTGTCTGTCTGTCTGTCTGTCTGTCTATCTATCTATCTATCCAACTGCATGTCTGTGCATCAAACGGCGCGCCCTCTAGGGAGATAACTCTAATCACAGCAGAAGAAAGCCATTGACAACACTGTTTATCGAGCCGAGTGATGGCGGTTATTAGCAGGGACGTTTCTGTTTATTAAAACAACTGTTAACATGGCCACTGTTAAAGCTACTTCGTATTTAATACACGACTTGAGCGTGCTGATCATGACCTGCCTCATGTAATTATTTTTATGTTTATAACTATTGCTCATGTATTAATTATTATATATTCTATTTCATTAATTTAACGATGTTACTAGTCTCCTGAAACTATTTTTACGTATTTTATTTACTTTGTAGCCGTATTGTTAGTTCAGTCATTGTAATTATTATCGACGAGCCGGGAGAAGGTTGTTTATTGTTCAGCACAATCGATTGACGTAATATCGAAAAGCTTTTCCAAATATTGTTATGTAGCTTTTACTGTGAGTCGTGCCGTTTTGCAAAAAGCATATTATTATTAAGAAATAAATGATTTTAGAACAGGCTGCAGTTCTGATCAATGAACTTTTTTTAAACATTTTAATTCGGAGGGCTATATGGACTGTATATTTATGTTACATGAATCCCTGAGGAAAATATACAATGGGGACATGCATGTAGAGACCAAGAAGACTTGAGAACTGGCTGCACCTCTGATCACTTAATTACTATATATCATATGTCCATTGTGTGGTAATAGTATTGCCTGTATATGAAATACCCTTAAATTGCATGTCATATGTTCACACACATGCATGCACACACACACATGCACACACACACAAGCACTGTACATTTGGTAATAATCATTGGGCATTTTAATGTTCCCTGCATCTGTTTTTCAGTGAGCAGTTAGTTATGAGTCCATTAAAAGAGCACTATATTAAGCATATACTGAGGATAAATGGACAGATAATCACTAAACAGGTACTGAAATGAGAAGCACAGGGATTGAGGAAATGAGAATGACCTAGAGAAGAACGTTAATGAGAGAGGCCAAAGTTGCTAGACTGGATTCCATCCATGATGTCAAAAGGATGGCACAGGATATAATAGAGCCCTTTGTGATGTAAAAATGGCACGGCAGTATGAGATGATGGTGTTGTTTAAATAAAGTATTACATTGTGTATATGGTATTTCTCTTATGCACTGGACACTGCAGACTCAACAAACACTCATATAAAATAAATTTAAGCCAAACAGCTTTCTATCAGTGTCTTCGTGCTGTACTTCCCTGGCAGAATCAACATATGCCACAACCAGTAGAACTGACAGCTAAGGAACCCTAAGAGACCTTGAGATGCCATCCCAATTGATGGTTCTCAGTGGATTAAGCACATGACCAGAGATCACTGAAGAAAAAGAAGTATATAGTAATTGTTGCATTTGTAAATTAAAAAAAAAAAACAACTTAAAAAAAAAAACAATAAGTTTTAAAAAAAAAAGTAAAGGCATTTTATTCCAGTGGCATCATGCACATAGTGCTAGACCTATATGATTATGGGCTAATCAACACTCCATTAGTTATGTAGTCAGCATCACGCCTGCTGTCTTTACTTCCCAGGACATTACCATTTGAGGCTGGGTTGATCTGGAAGTGAAAGTCAGTTTTGAAAAAAAAAAAATATCTGCCCTGGTGAGGATTTGAATCCTACAGGATCAGTTGGTGAAATGTATACACATTATTTGATGGCCTGTAAAACTGATATATATTGTAGGCTACAAATTAGCAGCTGTTGTTGTTCTCACTGCTGCTGAGTTGATTTCTCTTGGCAGCCAGATGCAGCTTATGAAGATGACAGTCCTCCTGTCAGCTATAGAATGACTTGAATACTACACCGTCAGTTGCTGAAATGTATACACATTATTTGATGGCCTGTAAAACTGATATATATTGTAGGCTACAAATTAGCAGCTGTTGTTGTTCTCACTGCTGCTGAGTTGATTTCTCTTGGCAGCCAGATGCAGCTTATGAAGGTGACAGTCCTCCTGTCAGCTATAGAATGACTTGAATACTACACCGTCAGTTGCTGAAATGTATACACATTATTTGAAGGACTGTATAACTGATATGTATTGCAGTCCACAAATTAGCAGCTGTTGTTGTTCTCACTGCTGCTGAGTTGATTTCTCTTGACAGCCAGATGCAGCTTATGGAGATGACAGTCCTTCAGGCAGAAATAGAATGACTTAGTAATTGTTTGAAATGGCTGTATTAACATTTCACGGACATCTCCAGGGTGAAACATTTGAAGGGAAACTAATAAATGGCTTTAGAAAGGCAGAATCATTGATGTATAACAGGGTGTACAGCAGGAATTGTTACAGTTACGGTGGGACTGATTGTAACAAGCCCTGTTGGAGACTGAAAAATTAGGCTCTGGCTTTTAAATGCTAAGGTAGCTAATGTTGTTGACTTTTAGTTAGAGCATTTAATTAAAATGAGCTTGCCCATCGTTTCCCTTATCTGTTTGGTTGGCGAGACCGCTTAGTAATTAATTGATATTTTCACACTGTTATGAAGTTTTGCATCAGTTGCTGTTTTAGGGCCGCATTATGGCTGCTTTAGTAGGCCCCAAAAAAGGCAGCGGATGCACTACTCCCTAACATAATGGAGAAATCATGTATTTACTAGGTAGTCTTAAGCTTTTGGCCACCACTGCACTTTAGAATCTTTTTATCTGCATGCAGTTTTGCTTTAAATAAAGTAACACTTTTTTCCCCCATTACGTTTGAGCAGTATAACTGCACCAGCCGCAAAGTATTGCTACTTTGGCTTCGATGTGAGCAGCCCTGACGCCCTGAAAAACCAAACTTGTTCAACAAGGCAAGTCAGTCTCTCAAAAACATTGTTAGAACCAGATCAAGAAACATCACCAGCTTACACTGCAATGAAGGTCCATGAGTTGGATGATGGCGGTTTCCACAGACAACATGATACTGACAGGAATTATCATTGCTACATTTTTCGATATGTGTCAGTGCAGATGCTCCATGATTTCCAGCATGAATCGGTTCATATTGAATTTGGATGCGATTATAATAATTTATGTCATAACAAAGAAATTGGCAAAGTTCTTCGTCAGGTGAGTAATTAATACAGTTTTGAGAAGTATTCTTTAATAATACGGCACCCTTGTCTACTTTTGACTGTAGGGTACATCAGGGTGGTACTTATAGCTGTTGTAGTAAAAGTAAAGGACCCTTTTCCACGCCTTTAGTCATGTTGGGCATATAAGGTTAGACCTATATTTTATAGACCAGTTGTCACTTGATGAGTGATGTGATCAGCATCACACCAGTCACCTTTACTTCCTAGGATTGCACCCACTCAAGGCTGGGTGGACCTGGGAGCCAAGGTAATTTATGAAAAAAGTCCAGCTCCACCAGGACCCAAACCCACGACCTTCCAATCCGCAGGCGAGTGCCTAGCAGCTACACCACAGTGACTCCCATTATGGATGTCCTAATTATAACTAGGTACTGGTTATTAGTTTTGCTAGATTGACAGCTGGGATGTAACTGCTTGGTTGCAGGGTTGATCAGAACTTCAGATGGTGGCCCAAAGGGGACAAATGATGTGTCAGTCAGTCTGTTTTATAATGTCGTCATCCTGCACTTTGTCATATAATAAAGACAAAATTTGATCTTGGGTGTTATTAGTCAATTTTGTTGTTAATATTCCTTCCACGACCATCTTAGATCATCTGTATTTTCTCTAAGAAAGAAGTAAAGATCCCTTTTCACACCTTTTAGGCGCATCGAGCATATGGGAAGAGCACCCATATTTTTACAGACCAATTGACACTAGGTGGGTAATGTAATCAGCATTATGCTGGTCGTCTTTACTTCCCCAGGACATACATCTTGGTACCCATTTTAGGCTGAGTTGACCTGCGGCGCCCCATAACATGATAAAAATCCACGCAGCCAGCAGTGGGTTTCGATCGCTGTACTTTGGAATTACGAGTCGGGCAACGCCTAAGCCACAGACTCCTGCCTTTCTCTCCATCTGCATCTGCTTTTTTTCTTCTTCACTTCGTCTTTTACTGCTTTGAGCGTCGAATGTGATGTAAGGTTCTGCTTCTTGCTCTTCACTTCAGCCATTTATGTACAGAATAAAAATCTAAGAATTCTTGACTAATGTTTTGGTATTATAACAGACCAGCTAGTTCAATCCATAAGCATTGTCCAATGCACGACATGCGAGTGACTTAATACATGAAGTGACTTGACCGATGACTAGATATGAAGCATTTTTAGTGACTTGAGATGTGCTTGTGACTTGGTGGCAGTGACTTGACCGATGACTAGATATGAAGCATTTTTAGTGACTTGAGATGTGCTTGTGACTTGGTGGCAGTGACTTCGGACCAGATTTGCACTTGAAGGATGACAGCTTAGTCCAGCCTCTGCTACTTACTAACTGTAGGTACAAATGATCTGCATATTTTTATCTTCGGTTTTAGGAGTCAGTAAATGGATCTCATAGCAAGCTGTTCTGTTGCAATACAGAGAATTGCAACACAGTTAACGAACTTCCTCATTTGCCAGCAGAGAACAGAATATGTTACCAGGGTACTGACAATAACACGGAAGCTGTTCCAGGTTAGTAAGATGATTTTCTTTTATTTATAGTAAAAAAAATTTTTTTTTACATTTTGCGTATGAGGTAACTCACTACTGATGGTAAAACAAAGAAGCCGTAACAGTAAGAAAATATTGTTTTATAGCTATTTCTTTACTTTGTGTATGAGGAACTGTGGCACTGAAAATAATACAGAGAAGGTCAGAAGATGTCTTGTTAATAGTAAATAAACAATAGTTTTTAAAAATAATTAAAAAAAAATCAGATAAAGGAGGGAAGCCTTGGAGTAGCGGCTTGACGCTCGCTTGCAGATTGGAACTTTCACACCATTTAAATTACAGCTAAACTGACTGCTGTGACTTCCCAGAAAAACACTTATCGACCCTCTTATGGATTATGGCCCACAAGTTGTGAAGCTCTTCTTCTTCTACTGCCGTTTATTCCTTAATGGGTCACAGACTTTCAGTAAACTCTTGCTAAGACATCCTATCCTTTTCCACTGTATGCAACTCACCCTTTGTCCTCCTCCTTCTTTCTTGTTTAATCTAATACTCCCTGTCCAGTATTTTGTTTGACCCATTGAATTAATGCATATAATTTATATTGTTACGAGGTTTTTTCAGTGTGTTGTCCAGTCCAGTGTCAGCGTCTGTTCCTCACCTCCGATGTTCATTAGAATCTGTTTAGTTTCCTCCCAAATCTCCACATGAATGATTTTGTTGTATCACTTAATTACCTTTATTCTGCTCAGGCTCAGCCAGTTAATGAATGTTTGTAGTTTACTAGTAATTGTTTTAGTTATTATCCTTGTTTCAGCCCATAATGCAACACTGCTTTTACCTTAGAGCTAAATATTCTGTTTAGTACTAATTTTAATTTCCATTAACTTACATATATTTCTTATTATTATGAAAACTCATGCTTTTTGTATTTATATTTTCCCCTGTGTTGGTTCAAGGACACATTGTGGAAAAAGGGGGGGGGGGGGCAAGAAAAGATGTTATGTTTGTCTTGTTTCACTTTTATGTTGTATTATGTGTGACTTTTGTTTATGCTGTAGAAAAGTAATCTGTGCACAAGATTTGTAAATAAATCTGTTATTGACAGTTCAAAAGGTATCCTGTGTTCATCCTGACATTATGTGTGCTATGACAACAACCTATTACCCAGATGGCATAGTGGAAAGCTACTTTTGTGATAATGAGAAGCTCTGTCAGGATAATATGTTGCCTGGATCATTCAGATCCTGTTATCAGGTAATATTAACTCTTTGATTACCAAGAACATATCATGCATTGATGTATAACTAATTTAACTTTCTTCTGGTGCCATTAGAATTAAATCAATCTTTTTTTTATCGAGAGAGAGAGAGAGAAATTTTCCTGAAAGATCACATTTCCAATGCTTGTATCTTCTTTCTTGAGTTCATCTGTTGAGGTTCAGAGCCACATGTAAACATACTAAAAGCTAGTGCTGTGTCTACCACATTAATTTCCCAAGATAAGTTTTAAGGACAGTTATCAAGCTAAATTTCCCTACTCAGTGAACAAATGCCTGATGAAGTCGGATGTGTTGACCAAAAGTCGCAGATATTGCAGCTCTGCTGTAAACAGGCACAACTCAGATTATGTCAGTCAGATGAACAGTGAAGAAGATAAAGTTGTATAGTGATAGTCAAATGAATATTCATATTATTCTTTAGATGAAATAATCTTGACCTGTAGTAAGTATAGATTTAGTGCATATATGGTGCTTGCTTTATATGTTTGAATAATAAGGCACTCATTTGGGTAACCAGTTTCACTGAGAGTCTGGCTTGATGAATAAACCACGACCCCGAAGGCCCTTTAAAAGTATGACCATCAGACATGTTAGTTTTTGGGCTGCCATGGACCCAGTCTGACCTGACATAACAGTAAAAGGGTGCCATGGTGTGTAGGTTTCTTGAAACTTGTCATGCTGGAGTGTAGTGAAACATTATCGTAGATGTTGCAGAAGGCAGATGGTAACAGACAAGGAAGATATTTCTGAAGTTGAAATAGGACCGATACACTAGCATATGTACTTTGCACATTAGTATGCAAAGAGGGAGAGAGAGAGATGAGAGAAAGAGAGAGAGAGAGAGAGAGAGAGAGAGAGAGAGAGAATAAACTAAAGAAGGTGACGGAGAGTGAATGAGAGTAAGTGAATAAATGTGAAAGAGAAAATGTGTGTGAGAGAGAGAGTGAATTAGAGAATTCTAAAGTGTGAGTAATAAAACAAGAGAGATGGAGTGGGAGAAAAGCTGATGAGAAAGTTAGCAAATGAGAAGGAGAGAGAGGAAAAGGGTTTAGAATGGAAGGCGAGATCTTGTTTATATATTTATATTTGCATATACTGTACATATTCTTGGGGGCTGCTGAAGTGTAGTGGCTAGAAACTCATCTACGAGCCAAAGGTCTTAGGTTCTTTTTCTTCAGCGATCTTTGGTCATGCGCATAATCCACTGTGGGCCTTAAACTGGGATGTCCTCTCAAGGTCTCTTAGGTTTCTCCAAAGCTTAGTTGTAAGGTCTACTGGGTGTTGCCATTTGTTGCTCCGCAGCTTCGCCAGGTAAGGACAGTCTTGCAGGACATGTTCTGAAGTCTCAGCACGAAGACACTGGTAGAGGGCTGTTTGGCTCATATCTAATTTATGTGGGTGTTTGTTAAGTCTGCAGTGTCCAGTGTGTAAGCAAAAAACTGTGACTTGGTCTGTTCTGTTCTAGTGTTTGAGAAAATTATTTTCTAAAGCATCAACGTTTTCACTGCCTTTGACGCCACAGTGAGGTAGAATCCACTGAAAGTGAATTTCTGCCTTTTTTGACAACATAGCAAGTTCCTTTGTTAGACTTTTAAGTGTGCTGTCAGTAGGTTTTGACTCAAGAGCCAGTATAGCTGACGGTGAGTCAGTGAGAAAAACCATCTTGCCTGTGGTGATTTGCAGATTGTTCATATACTGTGCTGCCATCAATAGGTCTGAGAGCTTTGCCTTGTAGTTAAAGCAAGTTCGTCCGGTGGGGCCTGCCACGGACACAGTAGTAGCATCTGGGTGTTTAATGTAAACACCTGCCCCACCATGTGTAGATTCTTGTCCTGTGGGAACATGTTGTTGAGGTGTTCCACTGTGAGTGCTTTCTTTACTAAAGTGGGCTCAGCATCTTTGTTTCCCATTCTTGGGTTTAAATCTGCTTTGTTAATTTTTTTCCTTCAAAATTGACCTTGGCTCCCAGGTCGACCCAGCCTAAAATAGGTCCCAAGTAATGTCCTGACAAGTAAAGGCTAGTTGATGACATCACCGACTGAAAGCCGATTAGTCTATAAAAATATAAGATGAGCATAGTGTGCCGATGCTTCACTGGTAAAAGAAGGGCCCTTTGCTTACAAAAAAATTGTATATGTTTTTTATTTTACTGTAAATATTCTCACATATTTGTTCACTTGCATTAAACATACGCACACATAATTCAGAACTTTTCCCCCCTCCTACTAACAGTTGCTAGTTGACAATACAACACAGAAGATATGCTGCTGCGATGCCAGCTTGTGTTTTGCACCACCAAATTCTGAAGGCAAAGCCATCAGTGTGAATACTTCTAGTATTGCAGACACAAGAACCGTGGACAGCCTGCCCGCAGAGAAGACGGACAAGTGGGCACTGACAGGCCTGGTCATCGCTCTCCTGTTTGTCACAGGGATTGGTGGGGGCATTTTCATCGTGGTGTTATGCAGAAAACACAAGAGGCCACGCCCTGATCCTAATGTCATTATGCAGTATGAACGTCTGTCTGCTTCAGATGTTGATGTGGATGATGCTGTGGTTTTGTAGTATTTTACCTCCAGATCATGTTGTCTCATGGTAGAGTCTAGTACAGTGTTTTTCATTTGGTTGTTGGCGTTAGCAGAGTAAACTTAAAGGATCAGGGATATCATTTACTGAAAGGGAAACCTCAACTTTAGAATACAGTCCTGTTTAAAAAAATAAAAAATAATAGTATTTATGAATTATAATTTCTTTTCTATGACTGTTAACAAGTATGGGGTCCGTGGTAGACCTGAGAAAATAAGAGGCATCTGTAGGCAGTCCTGTTCAGTAGAGTTTCTCAGAATGATGCTAGTCTTTGAAATGCCACCCTTAATAGCTTCATGCTAACAGATCAGAAGTTGCAGTTATATTTTGATTTGGATGCTTGTGCTCCCACCCCTCCATCCCCCATCCTTATGGTACCTTTCTGTATCATAGCGCAGCACGACCCTTTTTGTAGGTCTGAGCTAATTGGGAACCAGTGTATTAGGACCATTTTTGCTACAGTGACTTGTTGTATTTTGTGTGTCGTTTATATTCACAATTTAATACAGTATGTGATGTGCTGCGTAAACGAATTAACTGTGCTAAATCATAATAATGATAATTTTATGTGCAGGTTTTCCATGAAATTTGTTTGGGACAAAGCACAATATTACAAAGGGAGAATGCACTATCTTAGTTAGCCCACACATATTTTTCGTAACTTGCTCATTTAGCTGTGTCATTTGCAAGTTTTTTTTTACTGTTTGTGAGTAAGCATCTTAGTACAGTTTGTTTAAAAGTCTGTATAATAACTTTCACAAGGATTTATATCTTTTACACTGAACTTAAATTGTAGGTTATACACTCAGGATAGCAAAGAAAAAAAAAAGGGTAGAAGCCAAATCAAGAATGAATGAATATCCTTGTTTGGGTGATAAATGTATCCATTCAATAAATGCTGAAAATGTTTTGTTCTGCACCATACACCTTTATAAGATTTACTGTAACATAAAATATTCACTGAACTGTCTTAGTTGCCTATATGTACCTCTTTTTAGGGCAGTGGAAGACAAGGGGATTTTGAGCCGAGTCATTTAGGGCTGTATGGCAAGGACTGGGCAGGTTAGGATTTAAATTTTGTCCCAGACAGAATAAAAATCACCCTACAGAGGATTTAAACATGGGTTTCCTGCAGGAAAGCCCAGAGTTTTTTTAATTGCTCATCTAGCTGCTCCTCTTTCACTTAAGCCAAATAATAGAAACCACTGTCTAAGAAACTAATGACTTAGTTTCTTGCTTTTTGTGATAACTATTGCTAATGTATAGATTAGATGGGTGGTTTTATAAGGGGAACAGGAGGACACATTCGACAGTATAAAAATGAAAAGCTGTAGATGCCACACTAATGACCAAACGTGTCACAAACGATGATGAAGCTTGCATTGGTAAAAAAAAGGTCCCTTTTCCACGCCTTTAGGCTTATAGGGCATATAAGGCTAGACCTATATTTTTATAGACGAGTCGGCACAAGATGGGTGATGTGGTCAGCATCACGCCGGCCACCTTTACTTTCCGGGAATGCACCGGGTACCCACTCAAGGCTGGGTCGACTTGGGAGTCAAGGTCATTTTTGAAAAAAATCTTTCTCTGCCAGGGAGCGAACGGATGACCTTCCAATTCGCGCGCGAGCATCTAGCCGCCATGCCGCGGCGACTGGGAGCCTGTAATAAAAACAAATATTATTTATTCATCCAGAGCGAAGCACAATAGTGTTCATTAAAATAACAGGTTTCTTCGCTTTCTCTTTTACCACTTCAGGTGTCAGGGGAGTAGTTAGGTTCTGCTTCTTGCTCTTCTCCCTGCACAGACCATCAACACATTGTGCTGTTGTAGATTTTCTTTGATGTTGTCTTTCCATCCTATTCTTTCTACCTTGTGCTCTGCATCCTTTTTCTCTCTTTGTGTATGCCTTGTATGGTATGACATCACTAGGCATTCTCTCAAAACTTGATCTGCTGTCTTTGTATTTAATTTAGAAATGATTCTTTGCTTTTTTCTTTTATGACCTCATTCCTGATTTGATCTCTTTTGGTCATGCCTGCAGCCCTTCTCAGACATTTAATTTCTGTGGTTTCTTATTTTCATTTCTTGTTTGTTGTGACTGATCATGTCTGGTACTGGTAGCATAGAGTGGGAATGAATATGCCTTGTGTGACATGTTGCTTTGAGATGAGTAGGGATTTTCTTATGCTAAATGAATGTTACCTCAAGAAAATATTGATAAAATTTAAATATATAAACAATTGCAGTAGTGTAGTGGCCTGCAAACTTGCCCGTTGACCTATTGACCAGTGACCTCAATCCTCATTAAGGTAGATTTTAAAAATAATCCTAGGGCTACCAAGCCCAGTGATAGTTGCCAGGAAACATCCTGGGAAGTAAAAATTGTTGGCATGAATTGTCCTTATCACCAATGAAATGCTTATTGGCCACAAAAACTATAATCTTCTTTGTGAGCTCTTGAGGTTCATTACTGCAGAAATCATCTACCTCCATTCGTCGTAAGTCTGTCAAAAAGTTTGAAATGAGCTTAATCCCTTTTAGTCATACTCAAGGTTTCAGAGTCAAATACAGCATTAGGTCTAATCAATGTTTTTATATGTAAAACTATGATATTAGCATTAAATTTATGATACATATTTAGGTGTGGCTATGTGCCTGTTGTCGGCTCTGTGGTTAAGTCGATGCGAACGCTTCGTAATGCCGGGTTTGATCCCAGCTGCGGGCCATGTGCCTTGCGTTGGTTTTGACAGTGGTATCAAGAAAGCCGACCCTCCAGAAAGCAATGGCAAACTACTGGACGTAAATTTGCCTAGAAAAACCACAGGGGCTGTTGGGGTTGGTTCTGCAACGTCCTGTAAAGGATACACAACTAACCTATGTGCCTGTTACTTATTTAACTCTCAACACGCATGAGTCAGTGATAAACTACTTATAACTAGGTTGGGTAGCTTCCTTGCTTAGCAACACACTGGATGTGGGTCAAATTACCCTCAGTAAACACAAGATTGGATTTTTTCCCACTAACAGCACTCTAGAGAGAGAGAGTTGATAGTTTCACAGAATAAGTGGTGCATAATTTTAAGAATTTTGTGTTATAATTTTCTGAGAGTGTAAAATAGCGAAGAAGAGAACTGGTTAACTCATCTGGTTGACCCAGTCCTTCAGCCTTGTAATGATGTGACTTAGCACTTTCTATCCCAAGAAATAGAATTACTGTCTGTACATATTTTAGACTGGTGTGATAAATATTGCCATTTTTATTTGTAGAAATACATTTACCCCGTGTCTGTGTTGTATCATTACAAATATATGTTGTGATGTATCATTTGTCTATGTTACAAAGTATAAGCACATAATGTAATGCTGTACTGTATCTGGTGCAGTTGTGTATATTGTATAATAAAAGCGCACATTGTGCGGTGTCTGGTGCAGTTGTATCAATTGTATAACAAAAGCACATGTTGTGTGGTGTCTGGTGCAATTGTATCATTTGTCTCCGAAGTATTAATGCAAGCACATCATGTTGTGCTGCATCTGGCGCAGTTCTGTCATTGGTCTGTGCTTTAAAAAATAAGCACAACATACCATGTTACAGAGTTGCATCAGTTATCTATGTTGTAAAGAAAAATACAAGGACATATTATTGTAGGCTGTATCTGGCGCAATCGTATCATTTGTCAGTGTTGGTGCAGTTATGTACATTATAAAATAAATGCTGCAAATTTATTAGTGCTTTACAAGCTATTCATGCTTTCAGAGCTTCAAAGTTTTGTGTAAATCTTGTTATTTGTCGAGTGTAACTTGTCATCCCGTCCATGTATCAGAGTGATATTATTGTGGTGAATTCTGTTTCTCAAGTTACATATTAAGAGACGAAATGGTTTGTTTAACCCAATATATATGTGGTCATCATGTGATGAGCATTTTGTTAGTGGCAAATTATGTTCCCTATGTAATTTTTTGACAGTGTTTTATTGAAGACATTTTAGATATAGCTGTTGTGGTATCTTCAGCACTTTAGCAGGTACACACATTGAAAGACAATGTTTTGTTTAACACATCAGACATAGTTGTTTTAGTTTGTTGAGCCTATAATTTGAACATTGTAAGCGGCACTTTCTGTTTCTCCTGTTACCTCTTGAAACTTAGTGTTTTATCAAAGCCATTTTACACTTAGATGCTGTGATGTCTTATTTCAGTGGCAAAATCTGTGTCTCAGGTAATGCACTGACAAGCATAATATATTTATTAAAGCCATATTAGTTGTAGTCATTGTGTTTGCGAGCTGGTAGATATGAACAAATTATGTTGTGGCATGTAATAGACAGAGCTAGTCTGCAAAACTTTGCCAAAATTATTTTTAGACATGTCCATAATACATCTTTATTTCCCTTTCGTGGTCAGACAGTTAGATACAGGATATATGTGCTCCCCCCCCCCCCCCCCCCACACACACATACATGTTCGCTCGTGCACACACACACAGTATTGAGGACTTTAGAAGAAATGTGTTTCTTGTTCATGAGTTTCAGTTTTTTTTTTAATTCTTATGTTTTTAAAAAAAATATTTGATATCCAAATACACATAATGCGTTGTTTAGGACAGAAAGAGAAAAAACTATAGGTTTAGCATCATATGCCAGATGTATCAGCGAGAGCCTTTTACAGTCACTTCACTCTTACATCTCAGACTGCCTTATTGGTTTAAGGCAGGGCTATTCAACTGGCAGCCCACGGGCCAGATGTAGATAAAGAGGATAATAACTGTAGGGGTGTGTCTACTGAGTCAGATCTTTAGCACCCCTTGACAGAATTTAAAAAGTATGAGAAAACATTACATGACGGTGGCCGGGTTTTTGTGGCTTGGAACCCATCACATATTATGCCTGGTTGGGATAAAAGAGTTCAGACTATATTTAGACAGGAAGCTTGTTTGCAGCAAGATAGTTGGCACAGGTTGTGACTAGACTGGCCAT